TCCTGCTGAGTGCGAGAGTGAGAATTACCCGAATAGTGGTGGGTTTTACCATTGGACTGAATGTTTCAGTGAAGTCAAACCCGGCCACCTGATGGAACCCCTTAGCTACAAGTCTTGCCTTGTATTTGTTGATACTGCCATCTGGATTTTCTTTTACCCGAAACACCCATTTGCAGCCTATAGCTTTCCTGCCATGAGGTAATGAGACAAGACTCCAGGTGTTGTTTCTTTGGAGAGCAAGAAACTCGTCTGTCATGGCTTGTTTCCAGTGAGTTGCTTCCAAAGCTTCTTCAACTGTATGAGGCTCTCTTGCTGCCATGTATACTTTGGGTTTAAAGATACCTCATTTGGAGCGTGTCACCATGGAATGGGAAGGCTGCAAGACTGATGCTGAAGTATGAGTTGTACTGTGGTTTGGAGCCTGCACTGGACCCGAGACTGAAGGCTGCAAGTCTGATGCTGAAGTATGAGTTGTACTGTGGTTTGGAGCCTACACTGGACCCGAGACTGAAGGTTGCAAGTCTGATGCTGGAGCATGTGTTATGCTGTGATCTTGAACCTGCACACATAAGTCTTGATTCGAGATTGGTGTTATAGATATAGGTTCCTCCACAGATACACGAGAAGAGGGCAAGGATGGGAGAATATTGAGTGGGGCTGTGTGAGAAGATGAAGCAGGACATGATGAAACACGATGTGCTGTTTTGAAGAAAGGAAAGGAATTTTCATCAAAGATGATATCCCGAGAGATGTATATCCTTCCAGATGGATCTAAACATTTGTAGCCCTTATGTTTGATGCTATACCCAAGAAAAGTACATGGTATTAACCTAAATTGAAGTTTCTTTTTGTTATAAGGTCTTATGTTTGGATAGCATGTGCAACCAAACACTCTCAGTTGGGAGTAAACAGGCTTGGTATGAAAGAGAGTTTCTATAGGTGTTTTGTTGTGGAGTTTTGGTGTTGGCAACCTGTTTATAAGAAAGACAGAAGTTCGAAAGGCTTCATCCCAATATTTGAATGGCATAGAGGCTTGAGCAAGAAGTGTCAAACCAGTTTCAACAACATGTCTATGTTTACGTTCAGCCACCCCATTTTGTTCATGAGTATGTGGGCAGGGATGCCTATGCTCTACACCCTGTTGAACCAAAAGGTCTGTAAAAGGTCTAAACTCTCCTCCCCAGTCAGTTTGGACACATTTAATAGGTAAGCCAATTTGTTTTTCCACTAGTGTTTTGAAATTCACAAAGGCTTGTAAGGCTTCACTCTTAGTTCTTAGAAGATATAACCATGTAAAACGAGAGTAAGCATCAATAAAGTGAATGTAGTACCTATATCCACTGGAAGATAACACAGGGGAGGGACCCCACAAATCAGAGTACACAAGCTGTAAAGGACTAGTATAAACTGAATTTGAGAGAGAAAATGGCAATTTGTGAATTTTTCCAAAACAACAAGATTTGCAAACCGGAACAGTTGAAGTTTTATTTATGTCAGAGAGATTACAACTGTTTAATACCAGTTTCACAACTTTATCTGCAGGGTGTCCTAATCTGTTATGCCACAATTCAAAAGATGATGGCTTAACAACAGTACTAGTATAAGCTTTGACATTTGAATTCAAAGAACTTGACAACTTGGTGGAATTATGAAATGAAGTGCAATACTGAGAAGAGTTTACTGGAATGGTGGACTTGAGTTTGACTTGAGAGTTGTCAAACACGTAGAGGCCATCTTTAAGACGCCCCTCCAGTAGCACCACCTTGGAAATAAGGTCCTTGACAAAACAAGAGTTAGGATGAAATTCAAAAAATACATTGTTGTCAGCTGCAAACTTGGAGACACTTAAGAGGTTTTTACGAATTTCAGGAACATGTAACAAGTGTTTAAGAGTAAGAGATTTAGATGAAACAAAGGGGCTAGAGAAAGTGGAAGAACCAATATGTTTAATAGCCAATCCCTTACCATTTCCCATATGCACCTGATCCGAACCATAGAACTCAGAGCTGTTCATGAGATTTGACTGATCTGCCGTCAGATGATTGGTAGCACCTGAGTCAGGGAACCACTCCATGTCAGCGGATTCATCTGTGTACCAGGCTGAATCAAGAACTGCTTCAGGAGTTGCAAGTAGAGCACCCATTTGAGCATCAACAGCTGAATTTGGGTTTGGACACTGAGCTAAATTGCCCTGGACAGAGTGTTTGAACTGAGAGGGTCCTGTGAAAGACCTGTCAAACCTATAATAGCACTGTAGAACCATATGGCCCTGTTTTCCACAGAGTTGGCACTGTATCTTGTTGTTATTCCATGACTGTCCTCTGCCATGATTAAATCGGCCTCTGCTCTTGTTGAAATGATTACTAGAGAACTGTCCAGGCCTAGGGAGAAAACCACCAGAGGGTTGCCCGGGGAAAACAGGAAATTGGCCAAAATTGGAATTGTTGAAACGTGAGTTTTTGTTTGGTTGACCACTGGCCATGGCAAGATTGGCCAAAGAGGGCCCTGAAGAAAGGCTGAAACCATCACTCTGCTTAACAGCTCTCTCAATTCGGACTTCTTGAGCCAGAATGAGAGACTCGACTTCTTCAACATAATATTCATTAAAACTGGAATTTACACTAATTTCCAAGATATCATATTCAGGCGGTAGGCCATTGAAAATTACATCTATGTGATCCTTAGTGGAGATACCATGGCCGACTAAAGCAAGCATATCAACAAAATGCCTAATTCGAAGCAAATACTCATTGACAGACAAAGAATCCTTACGAGTATTTTGCAATTGAGTTTTAAATTGGGACTTTTTAGCCCTAATTTGAGAGGCGAAGTATACCTCGACTGTACGCCAAATTTGTGCCGCTATTTCGCAATTGACCATGCGAGAAAGAATTGAATCCGACATCGAAGCTAGCATCCACGATACAAGTAGTTGATCTTGTTGCTCCCATTCTTCATACGCTGAATTAATCACGCGAAGAAGCTCATCTGCTGGAGAAAGAAACCGCGGAGGAGTCTGTGTGGAGTCTGAGAGGAAATCCTGGAGGCGATGACCGCGAACAGTTGCAAGAACCTGTCGTCGCCAAACCAAGAAATTATTGTTGTCCAGCTTCGACGCAACTGGATGCGAGAAAGTGACTGGAACAAATCGAGAAGAAGAAGAAGTTGTCTGAGCAGCATCTCCCATGGCGATCGTCGGAAAAGAAGCTCCGTCACCGGCTGAATGGCTCTGATACCATATAAAGAAACAAGCTCAACCGTTTCTAGAGAGAGAAAGAGAAACTGATGAAAGAGAAGAACTAATTCTCATTAACCTCAAATCTGTTACAATTGTTTATTTATACATAAATTAGAGGATAACCTCTAACAGACTATCCAATGAAGTTATTACACGTGTAAACTAAATCTTTCATAACTAAGACTTCTTAACAAGGGAAGACCACAAAAATATGTTGTCGCCGTCTCGAACATTGTACCAAAAAAGCGACTTTTCTTCTTCCATCTGGGCCCCCCTGAGAATGAAGAAGTAACCATCCGCCGGCAATGGGAAGTTAATCTCCCGGTTCAGTTTCTCACACGCCTTCCTTAGCACCGCAACGCCATCATGTGGGCTCACCTCCACCGGAACCCTCATGGTCCTGCACCTGCTCGTCACATGCACCGTCAAGCTGCAGCTCCACGGCCCAAACCTCACATGGGTCTCCGCGCCATTGGAAATCCAGTACTCCCTCAAAGAGCTGTTTTCTTGAAGTTCTTCATGAGTACTGCACCTAAGCGCCATTGAGCGGTTGGTGACGGTGCGATTCGTCCTCTCCGCCTCGAGAATCTTGTTCTTGAGGTTGCGAACGGTGTCGTTTACGTCCATTTCAGTGGGTACGACGTGCATTTTGGGGGTCGGGAAGTTGACGTTGAGGCGCATTGTGGCGTTGGACGGAGCCGAGCGGCGTCTGACCCGGGCTCTGCCTTTGCGGGTGGCCGCGGCTTTTTTGGGGAGAGGATGAGACGAGCTGCTGGCCATGGCTTTGCCTTTGGGAGTGGCGGCGGCGTATTCGGGGAGAGGGAGAGACAAGCTGCTGGCGTTTGCAGGGAGAGGGTGAGACAAGCTGCTGGCCAGGGCTTCGGCGGCGGCCTCGTCGAGGAGAGAGGGAGCCCGGCTGCTGGCTAGGGCTTTGGCGGCGGCAACCGTATCATTGTCGAGAAGAGGGGGTCCAGGGGGAGAGCAGCGTCTGGCTAGGGCATTGGAGGCAATGGCGGCGGCGGCGTCATCATCAAGGACAGGGAGAGACCAGCTGCTGGCTAGGACATTGGCGAGGGCGAGGGCGGCAGCGACGGTGGGGTCGTTGTCGTTGTCGGGAAGGGGGTGCGACGAGCTGCTGGCGTGGTCTTCGGCAATGATGAGGTTGATGCCGGAGTTCTGTACGATGTTGCAGCTGAAGAGGTAGCGGTCGTCAGGGAGAATGCGGCCGTTGAAGACGAGGGTTTGTCTTGAGACAGGAATGAGTTGTTTATTCTTGATCTTCTGTTTGACCACTGAGACGGTGTCGGAGAAATCCACTTCCATGGTGAAGGGTTCTCCCCTTTGGGGCTTGATGATTACGTACATTATGCACAAGAAGAAGAAGGAGGAGGAGGAAGACGAAGTGTGGTGGGTTTTCTTGATCTGTTATAACTGTGTGATTGTTTTGCGAGTGCGAAGGAGTACTTTTCTTTTTGGTAAGTAGGAATGTCAATGTGGAACTGTGTATATATATATATATAATATATATAATACATTTATATATATAGTTACGACAATATCGAATTTCTGGACTTTTTTTTTTTAAACAAAATCAATGTTAGTCTTGATTCTTGATTCTTGAATCTTGAATTCTTTTTTTTTTTTGTTTTCATCAATGCCGTGATTTGGTTATTAACTTATCTAATGTTATGCTAATTACTAATATCTTTACTATTTTGCCCAATTATCATAAAGAAGATTTTACCTATTCCTTTTTTCGGATGATATAGGATGGAAATTCCTTGTGCCAATTAAAACATGTAACATATTTGTTACTGAAAAAACTTGTGGGAAAAAAAGGTTACCGAAGAGCAAATCTCCTAAAAAAAAACAATAATAATAAAACATGTACATGGAAAAAAATTTCAAGAATCTATATATGACTTAAAGGAGGAATGATGCGTGTGTTGTTTTTTTTTTTTTTTTTTTTTTTTTTTTTTTTTTTTAAACTTCAACTTAACTTTTTATTTTTTGTTTATGCTGGAATACTTAAAATTCTATGTTTTCAACTACTTCCTTGCTAGTTTGTTTATTCTTTTTTTTTTCATAAAATTAATTTTGTTCTGTATTTTACCCTTGAAAATATTTTCTTTTGAAATCTGTCTATATTTTAATAATTTTTACTCAATCTTCTAAAATTTATATTTTTTTTAGATAATTCCTTAACAAATACTTTTTTAACTAATTACTTTACTAAGATATATTTTTTTTCAAACGTGCTTTTTTCCGTATATAACTTATATTATTGTTTAATTATTTAAAAAAGAAAACTTCGTTTTAGGACTGAACAAAAAATCCATAGCCCACTTTACTCATGAAATCCAATTTAAGTACTTGACCTGAAGTTTGGGTTAATCCATTTAATCTGAATTTTCATTCACTACAAGAATAATGACTTTAAGAGACCAAACCTTTTGCTACCAAAAAATTTTTGGTAGCAGAAAACACACTTTTTGCTACTAAACTTTGGTAGCTGAAAGTATCAAGGCTTTAGTTACCAAATTTAGTAGCAAAAATAACATAATCCGCTACCAAATATAATTTGGTAACAAATAAAATGGCGGGAAAAGAATTTTGGTTCCCGTCAAGAGCACACACTTTTTGCTACCAAATATATTTTGCTACCAATATTTTAGTAGCAGAAAGCTCTCACTTTTTGCTATCAAATATATTTTGCTACCAAAATTTTGGTAGCAGAAAGGTCAAACTTTTTGCTACCAAATATATTTTGCTACTAAAATTTTGGTAGCAGAAAGCGCACACTTTTTGCTACCAAATATATTTTGCTACCAAAATTTTAGTAGCAGAAAGCTCACACTTTTTGCTACCAAATATATTTTGTTACTAAAATTTTGGTAGCAGAAAGGTCAAACTTTTTGCTATCAAATATATTTTGCTACCAAATGTTTAGTAGCAGAAAGCGCACACTTTTTGCTACCAAATATATTTTGCTACCAAAATTTTGGTAGCAGAAAGCTCACACTTTTTGCTACCGAAATTTTTGGTTCCCGAAAATCGTACATTTTGCTACCAAATACATTTTATTACAAAAAAATTTTTTGGTAGCAAATAGTTGGTAACTAATACTTTCTGCTACCAACTTTTTGCTACCAAAATTTTTTGGTAACAAAAATTTTACTACCAAAAACAGGGCTTTTGGTTACCAAATTTTTGGTAACAAAAAATTCAAATTCTTGTAGTGATATTGTGTAGATTTGAGTTCAATTTTTAGCATCCCGTTATAAACCAAACTAACCGAATGAAACCTTTGATACTTATATATTTATTAGTTTTGATTAAGGATTTGTGATTTTACTTGAAGGTTGGTTCGTGATTATACATTTGAACAGCTCAAATAACAATGAGGTATACGACGACAGAAATATATTTTTGGAAGACTATAAGGAAATGAAAGGAGATTGAAGATATATATACATTTATCCACATGATAAAGACGAACGCTTTGCAAAGTTACTTTCTCCAGTTGATCAATATGAGCCAACGGGTAATTACTCGAGTAAGCTTTTCTTCACCAAACAGCTTCCGAAAAGCCGGTTTGTTACAGACGATCCAAACGAGGAAGATCTTTTCTACCTTTCCTTTCTCCATCACAAGATTAAGGATCAGTCCAAACATTGGTGTAGAAGGAATCCCATTTTTCGTTAGCGGTTACATATGGAATGTTTAGTCTCGAGCATCCATATTGGAATCCAACAAATGGGGCCGATCATTTCTACGTAACTTGTCATTCAATTAGATCGGCGGCGGCGACTCTAGCCGGTCATGTGAAGTTTAATGCCATTCAAGTGGTATGCAGGGGCGCTAGCTATTTTGTATATGGGTATGTGCCACACAAGGATGCTAGTATGGCTCAGATTTGGCCTAGAGATCAAGAGGATCCTCCTAATGATCTTCTGTCATGAAAGAGGTAATTATGCATGGCTTTGATGTAGATGCTATATATACATTTTTTTTTTCTTTCTATTCATTAGTGTTTACAGCACTTTTTGCACTAGTCTAATGATCAATTGGAAAGTAGTGTTTGCAAATATTGATTCGAAATTGTACTGGAATTTGTTTTATGGAATAGGATCTTAAGTATTTATTATCAGTTCTAAAACCAGTGAAATTTTTGTTAACATGCCAAATACACACACACACACACACACACACACACATATATATATATATATATATATTGTAACGACCGGAAAAATTTCATGTCTAATCCGGACAGTCCGGTATTTGACCATAATTTTTTTTAGAATAGAAAGTAGTAGAATTTTAAGCTTGATCAAGGAAATGTTATGTAGAAACTTTATATACGGGGTAAAATCTCTTGAAAAGTGTAAAATTATAATACGAATATTTTTACAAAGAAAATTCGTAAATATCAGTTATGAATAGTGAAATTATTAGTACCGAAAAGAGACTCGTTTTGAGAAACGGAAAGTTAGGTCTCGATAAGAAAAATTTGAGGAGTATGGAACCCACTCATTTGCTAGCACGTATCTTTTATATGGAAAAGAATAAAAGTAGGTTGAACCAAGTTATAGGTACGTTTAAAAAAAAAAGAAAGTGAAATGATTATTACGTAAGGGTGACATGGGCTTCACATGCAGACATAACACTTGCTGTTGTTACATATGTTGGTGACTCACGTTGGTGACTCATGTTGGCTACATACTTCACATGTAAGGAATGAGCCTATGTAGTTTAATGCCATTACTCACGTTGGTTACATACTTCACATGTAAGGCAAAGTAGAAAAAGGTTTGTAAAGAAAAAGCGTGAGAGAGGGAAGTAAAAAGAAAATAGATTAGAGAGAGACGGAGAAAGAGAAATCAAGGAAATCAAGCATTATCACTGAAATATCTTCCGTTCAGTCCGACAGAAACGTAACCTAAGGCGTTCTAAAGAAAAACCTCAACTTTTGGAGGTAAGATTTTTGATTTTTCATGAGAATTCTATGATTTCTTGATTTGGATGAATAGTAACCCATCTCGAAAAACTTCCGTTAAAGTAAAAATCGAAACTGAGGTTTTGTAGAACATCGTAATAAGAGTCTAACGGTGTAAGTATTAAAACGATTGAACGAAGTTTTGGTGGATTCTCATTGAAAATCCGCGAGCCTAGATTAAGAAAGAATATGTGTTTTTGTTCAATTTTATGTTGGAATCTGTGTTTAGGAATGCGAATCTTGACTCCAGGTACCGAAATCGAAATTAAAACAAGTTATTAAAAACTCGGGAAACGAGAAAAACAAGACGAAACTCTGCCGAAATTTAGTTTGAGTAATTTAAACTAAAACTAGATTTCAAGAGGAATATGGGATTAAAGTGTGAAAAGAAAGATGTTTCGATAATCGGTGATGGTTAGAAACCGAACACAACGAGAATTCACAGTTTTAGACCGAAACTGAAAATTAGGCCCATGACTGAGTAATTTGCATGGTTTTAGTGCAAATCCTTGAGATAGGAAATAGTTTGAGGTTGAATACCAAACATAAGGATTGTAGACCTTTCCGACGTAAATTTCAATGTAATTATTGATCTTAGATTTTGAATCTAACGATCAAAAAATTATGCAATAGGGCCCATTAACGGTTGAAGTCGGACATCAGCAAGGGAGACAAAGGACGCATTGTTAGCGAAACTTCTGTAAGTACAATAGTTTTTCTATGGCTATTCATGAACAAGCTTACTTTTCTATGTTGCATAAACATTGTGCATATGTTAGAATTTTGAATGTTAGATATAATGTTATGCATGTATCTACAAGACTTAAGTAGCCGCAGAACTTTATTATGCGAAAAGTATGTATTGATGTTAAGTCGAGGTCAAATTAAGAGGAAAAGTTAAGTGTTAACGAAAAGTTAATCTCATGATAAATTGCTCAAAAATGAACAAATTCATAAGATTTAACCAAAGTTACCGTTTCAATGAGAAAATTGATAAACGGTAAGAGACTAAACATCCTGTTTGTACCAGCCTTCAAAGGAAAGGTTATTATGAGACTATGAAAGAAATGAAACCGTGACTGAGCTGGATTGGTTAGCTACCCCATTCCTCACTGGTTATGCGCGCTATGGTACAACATGACAGGGCCTATAAGAAGTAAAAGATAAGAAAATGAAAAACAGAAACCGTTCCATATAAGGTACGGTATCTGTAAAGAAGAATGAATAGAATGAGAAACACGAAATGAAAGTCATTCAGAATGTGAAAACACAATATGAATGACTAGAATGAGATGAAAGCAGACCAAAGTATGTAATGAAAGAA